CCGCCGCCTTTTCCTCCCCTTCATGGCAAACGGTTACGGCTTCGGCAGCGGCCGCTGGCTTTCCGCTTCGTGAATCCCGCCCGGCGGGCTGGTAATTAACCGACGCGTTGTGAAAAGTCGCCGGGAACGGAGGGATTAAGATAGCTCGGGCCATTTGAAGTGAGAGCAAGTCATTGTTAAAAGGTCATTGAAAATAATTTTTAAAGGCTTGTTACGCTAGATCATCATAGCCCATGATCTTGCAGAAATGTCTCTAGTTTCTGTTGGGAGTAAGCCATACGGAGAAAACGAGACGTCAGGAACGGTAATGTATTTACAAATTACTTCTGCTGGTAGCTTTAAAAAAAAAAAAAGGATTTATTTTTCAATACATCTAACATTATAAATGTGGTATTTTTTTAATCTTTAAATTGGACTATCCATTGGTTATTGTAATTACTAGAATTTATGAGAATTTGCCACCTTTCTCTTGTCAACCATGCCTGCCCTCAATAATTCCCCAGCTGTAGCGGAGAGTGAGAAATCCGTCTGAAATTCCTGCAGAGCATGCTTGGTCCGTGTTGTCTTACTTCGGTTTTAAACTTGAGCAGTTTTATCTGTAAGCAAAATCTCAGGCTCGGTTGTCTGCAGCTGTGACCTTGGAAGGAAACGAAAGTATTTCCCTGGAAGGAGTTCCTGACCTGGCCTTGCTCCCTGCCTCGTACGCCGTGTTGGAAGGGAAAAAACTGCCGGCAAGTAAAGGCTGGAAGCGGTGGAGAACCTGTCCTGGCGTAGCTGGAAGCTCTGCAACTGCACCACGTCGGAGCAAAAGCACCAGCTCAGCTTCCAGACCTGGCTGCTTCAACCTCGTTACTTTGGGGTAAGCATCTGAAATGGGGAGAGGAGGGGGTTTTCCTGCCGACGGCTGCAGTTAGGGTTTCCTTTTTAATCTGCCCTTTTATTTTTTTCTGCGTGTGTTTGAAGGCAGGGTTCTGCGCTTAATGACGTTGGAGGATGCCCTGTGGTGCAGGCTTTTTTTAAGGATATGGTGGCTTTAAGGTTGTGTTTCGCATAGCGTGGGCAAAGGACCTGAACTGATGATTTATTTTCCCAGATCTTTCATTATTATCAGGCATTGGACTCCGATTCTGTTGTTCAAAATGTCACGTAATCAGGCTTTTCTGTCCATGAGGAAACAAAATCCTTATAATCAGACTTTTTGCATGAGGTTGTCAAGAACTGATCAAACTTTGATATGCTTTTAGTTTAAATTGATCATCAAACCCCAAGAAATGTTATTTATATACAATCAAATACATAAGCACTGATACATAACTTAGTTTATTTTCTTCCAGTATGTATTTTTCATACTGTTCACTGGAAGTCAGGTTGATTTATATAAAGAGAGAAGAATCGAGCATTTTTATTAATTTGTTTCTTCCCCCTAAAGCTGGGAAGTAAATACCAGACTGGCAATCTGTTTTTTGCAGTTGTAACCAGCTTCCCTAAATGCAGATGATGTTTCCTCTGCACTTTGCAAACTTGTCTTCTGTTTCTCGTGCGTGTGCTTAAAGAGAAAGAAGTGACCCAGCATAAAACTTGCTGAGGTTCTGTGTTTTTATAAGCCAGGACATTGGTCATGTCAGGAAGTTCTTAATAAAACTCACTTGTTCCTCTGTGGTTACCTGAGGTTACCTTTAATGAAGGATTGACTCCCAGAAGCCACGCAGTGTTCTCGGAGTAGCGCAGCTTTGAGAGGGATCGGTCTGAAATTCTTCAGTTTAAATAGCTGTTTTTTATAAAACTGCTTTAATACCTTTTAAGTGATGCGCTGTCATTGTTGGTGACATGGGCTCCAAATGCTTCCTTTAAGGGATCATCAAATTACAGTCAAAGCCTATGCAGAAATACAAGGCAGGTGGGCTCTGGCAAATCAAATTCACCTAAATTCCAGAGTGCTATGTTGGCGGTTGGATCTGTTTTGTTTTTTTTTAATAGAAAGCATTTACAAGCCCTGCGGTGATCACTTTGAAGATAAGATAAATGGTCATTAATTGCGCTGTGAAAATGAACCTTCTATCGTCCGTACTGTCTTTGCAGATACTTTCCAGGGTAGGGTAAATATTATCACTGCAAACATTAGAAATCGTTTGGAGCTCCCACAGTAAGACATTGCAGTTATTTTGGCTTAAAGGTATCCAATGCACGTTCACAGCCTATGGAGTTTTAAAGCCTTTTCACAGGCTAGCGGAAGGTAGATGACTGAGATTCCATTTTTAAATTTAGTTTTGGGAAGATGTATTGATTTCAATATCTAGTCCCAACACCGTACTAATGTTGTCAGCACGGACCCCGCGGGGGTTTGTCAGCACCCCTCCGCGTAGGTTGGACTCCAGAGTGCGATGTGTGTCTCTGGCCAAAAAACGGCTTTGGCTGGTCTTCACCTCTCGCTCCGATGGCTGTGGTGGGTTTGTGTGGCGTGCCTGACGGAGCTGAGCGAACCCGTCGTGTTTTTGTAGGCGTTTCCTGCAAATAATGCAGGCAGGATCCTTTCTTCTTTAGAACTTAAATAGATGGAAGTAGCAGGAGGATTTTGTAGCGTCTTGTTTGCTTAAATGGAAACCATTAGAAGAATTTGCAAAGCTTCTTTAAGATTTGAAGCTCGTCTGCTGCAGTGGGTTCTCTGCTGCTCTCCTGAGGTCGACTGTAAAGCTGCTGTGGCAAAATTGGTCACAATGCCCCTTTATTGAACCGCTTGATTTAAGTAGCACGTATCAGAAAACGGTGTGGCGTGTTGTGGGAGCAGCCGTTCCTTTGGGCAGTGCAAGGGCTCAGCTTGTCTGTCACGATATGCTTGCGTTTGCAGGTCTGCAGCTCATAAGGAGGTTGATTTTCTCCTCCTCCTCCCATCGCCTGTGCAGTCAATTCAGAAGGAGTAGCTACTCGGCCCTTAAATGAGGGATGACCTATTGGCTTGTACTTCTCTTTTTACCCGCTTTCTTGGCTGATTTGCTCCCACTTAAAAAAACCTGTAAGACTTCCTTTCTTTGAAATAAATTACAAATTTTTCAAGCCTCTGAACATCAATTTGCTGAGCACTTTGTAGCCATTAGGTTTTGTGCGTGGTATTCCTTCCTTGAGGTCTGAGGCGCGGACGTTGTGCTGAGGTCTCTGGGATCACAGTGCTCGACGTGTGGTCTTTTGCAGTGATTGGGTTTACGTAGGGGACGTTTCTAAGGTGAGAGCTGCGAGGTTTCAATCCATACCATGCTCGGTGTTCGGCTCATGCTTCTTCACGGGATACAGCATTAATTTGTGTTGTACAGGATGCTGGACTGTGGTGTACGACAGCTGGACCAATGAATCTTGGTTTTGTCTTCGTTATGTTACAGCATGCTTTCAACTGACGCTTTAGGCAAGATAAGAAACAGATAATATTTGAACAATAGCATTCTGAATACTACTTCTTTATTTCTTTTTCAGCAAGAAACATGCTTCAGAACTTGTGGTACAGATTTCTGAAGGTCACTGACGCACTTCTGCAAAGTAGTTATTGCCTGGTTCCAGTTAGCGTCACGTATGTGAGAATACTAAAATGGATATTTTTGTTTCTCCTCGTATTTTTTGGCGTAACAATGTGGTACCTGACGTTTTCTCCCAACACTGTGATTGAGCACACAAACCTCATGTTTTTCTATGAATACGAGCCGATTTACAAGCAACGCCACCTCTTCACATTGCGGGAGCGCTTGAAATGCGAAGACGTAAATCCCTTTCTAGTCATCTTGGTGTCGTCAAGTCCTAAGAACGTGGAGTCGAGGCAGGCCATCAGGATAACATGGGGATCTCAAAACTTCTGGTGGGGACACCGAATTCTAACCCTGTTCTTACTAGGTCAGGACACTCGAAGAGAAGGCAACGCTGCAGCACTGTCGGTAGAAGACGAAAGCATCCTCTATGGTGACATAATTCGCCAAGACTTTATGGACACGTACGAGAATCTCACCCTGAAAACGATCATGGCGTTTAGGTGGGCCGCGGAGTTCTGCTCAAATGCTAGATTCCTCATGAAGACCGATGACGATGTCTTCATCAACACTGCTAACTTGGTGAAGTTTCTCCTGAAGCTAAATTCCTCAGAAAATGTTTTTACGGGTTATCCTCTTACAGGTAACTTTGCCTACAGAGGCTTTTACCAAAAAACATACATCTCGTACGATGAGTATCCGTTCAGGTTGTATCCTCCGTATTGCAGTGGGATGGGTTATATATTGGATGGAAAACTGGCTCTGAGGATTTATGAACTGATGAGCCATGTCAAACCTATTAAATTTGAGGATGTTTATGTTGGAATTTGCTTAAATATACTTAAAGTGGACATCAGTATTCCAGAAGATGAGCAATTCTTTCTTTATAAAATTAATTTTGATATCTGTAAGTATAGACGTTTGATTGCAGTACATGGCATTACATCAAGTGAAATAATCAGGTTTTGGCAGGATTTGTCATCAAACACTTTGGTTACTTGCCTTTGATTCCGTATTAATACACAAACGTAAACGTAGTCGGTGCAAAAATGTTTGAAGTCCAGGGCAACACAAAACAAAACCACAGCTGTAGAGATGACTTTGACCGAAGGAGGGCTATGCTGCCGGGGCAAAAGTGCAATGGCAGCATTTCCCTGGGACATTCTGGTATTCCTAAATAAAAATACTAGGCATTCACAAAGCACTTTTCCATGTATGTATCCTACGCATGCAGGATACTTGGGAATATGCTGTCCTGTCTTGCTCCACGTGGCCTGCTGTAACCACGGGATTTCCACCCGAGTCTTCTGGAATGTATGAAATGTCACCGAGGAAATGATGTTTATGCCAAGAAATGGGCTTTGAAGACGCTTCCCAAATGCCTACCTGGATTTTTTTTAATTGTTTTTGCAACTGCACCGTCCTTTGCCACCCTCCAGCATTTTTCCTCTGCCCAGCACGAAAATTCTTTCAACGTATCCCCTCCGCAACCACCCTGAGAGTGTTCCACCTTCTTACGTAGACGTATTGCCTCCGTAACCCTTCCGAGAGCGTGGCAAGCCTGTGGGTCTCGTGGCGTCTGCAGAAGCCGATAGGAAATTCTGAAAACGTGAGGCACTGCGCATGCGTCTGGCTGTATCTATATGTGCATACAACAGGGTTGCTGTGGTGTCTTTGGCAACGTTCACGGAGTACGAGAGGGCGAGATGCAGTAGAGTTCATGTGCACTTCAGTTACCAGGCATCTCTAAGACGTTGGGATAATCGACACCCACGTCTACACACACGTAGGTCTGTGTACCGACGCATCCCGAGGGTTTCGGAACCGCGCAGGGAAGATGAAAACAGATGCGTTCCTATTGTTTTTAGAAACGGATATAAAGTCTTTCCTCAGATTTTAAAATGAAAAAAGTAAGAAATTCTAGGATTTGTATTTTTTAAGACAAACTCTGCTGTATCTGTGGAGATGGATATTTTAATCACTTTATTCATATCAGCAAGGCCAAGTTTTCAGTAGTTTACACTTCTAATAGACAACAACACAGAATTTGCAATTGCATTAACATAATTATTCTTGCCACATCCACTACACAGTGAAGATACCATAGTTACGTCCTGTACACCTGGAATGACAGAGCACTGCCACCGGATCCGTGCTACAGCTGAGATGTTATGGTGTATTTACATTTGGCTGTCTTTCAGGTCGTCTCTTAGAGACAAATTACAAGAGGTGCACGAACCTCTGGTACCAAGTTTGAGGTTTCACCGGGTGTTTTGTGACATCGTGATCATGGTCAGCATTGAACTTTGCTGCCTTTTCAACACATGGGGTTTTTTGATGGAATTATGGGACGTGTTATTTTTTTAGATATAAAAATGAAGTCTTGGGGAGAATGCTCTCTAGAGAAGTATTTCAGATGTCGGTGTTCTAAGAAGGTACGTTAAGAAGGTCAACATTTTTCAGAAAAATAGATTTTTTTTTTGTTACACTGAATAGCTAAAGATACAATATTGCATAACTGAGGGAAGAATGAATGCTATTTTATTTCTAGAGACAGAGGTGAAACTACAGCTGTTCCTATGGTTTTAGGATCTGTTATGTGATGGTTGTAGCAGTGTGGTCAGGTCCCGAGAACTCCTTGAGAAATGTTTAACTTGTTTTTCGATTGTTTATACAGCTTACAAAAAGCCCTCAGGTGTTTTTTTTTTATAAGCCTCCTATGTTAAATATTTGGAAATAAACTATTTGCCACAAGGACTACAGCACAGTCTGTCATGAAAGACGATGCAATCTTCAGAAAGTGGCTAAAGCAGGGAGTGCTCCCGTTGAGAGTAAGAATCAAGCACCGCAGAGAACCAGCTGCGCGGGACCGCGACAAAAACGCAACTGTCGCCCAGCAAGGGGTTTTCTGTGCTTGTGCCCCAGAACGGTAACGCTGATCACAGATTGCAAGGCTTTTGCTTTCACAAACGTAGGTTTATGCACAGTGATCTGTTTATGCCACCTGAAGTCGTAACCTAAAGCCACATCAGTTCTGCAAGGAATTTACACTGTAAAATATTCCTGTTCCTGTTTTTTTTTTTTTTAAAAAAACCCTCATTTCCAGATCTGGTTTGTATTTGAGTCTGACCGTATTGCTTGCAAGACCATAAAAATTCATCACTAAGCTGATGTTTCTGCTTAAAGCAAATATCAGGCAAGTTTCTAGTGGGGGCAGCCAGGCAAGAGGTTAGAAAAGCTTAAGATTGTAAAGTAATGGAAGCACTGAAGTCAGTGGTGGGCCCAAATTTTATTGCATCTGCCTACATAAAACCAAAGCCTAAACCACAGGCTAAGACTTCCTCAAACGCTAAGGTTCTTCTCACGCTGGCAAGTGGCTCAGAAAGCCACAAGAATTCAGAATGCCAAGGACTTGTGGGGCTGGCTGTGGCTCAAAAGGCCCAGTAATGATCCATTGGCCACAGATGCTTGGGAACTACGCTGGTGTCCTGGTTTCGGCTGGGATAGAGTTAATTTTCTTCATAGTAGCCAGCATAGTGCTGTGGTTTGGATTTAGTACCAGAAGAATGTTGATAACACACTGATGTTTTCAGCTCTTGCCAAGTGGTGCTCAGACTACTCAAGGACTTTTTGAGCTTCTCCTGCTCGGCCAGGGGCATAACAAGCTGGGAGTACAGCACAGCTAGGACAGCTGACCCAAACTGTCCAAAGAGCTATTCCATACCATATAACGTCATGCTCGGGGGGGTTAGTCGGTCGGTCGGTCAGTCGCGGGCAGAGCGATCGCAGCTCAGGGACTGCTCGCGGCTCAGGGAGTGATCATGGCTCAGGACCGGCTGGGCATCGGTCGGCGGGTGGGGGGAGGGAGCGAGCGGCTGCGTGGTGCTGAGTTGCCAGCCGGGTTAAAACCACGACAGCTGGGGGGACAGCAAAAGGGGTTTGCAATGCAGAACTTCAAGCCTGTGTTGCCTGTGCACAATTTTGGAAGAGTTTGAGAGTCAAAATTTTAAATGTTTTGGGTGCGTTGTAGAACAAACAAGTACAAAATTAACCATGAAATCCGACGTGCTGCAGACTTAGGGGCTTTCTGCTCTGCGATCAGCTCAGGATTAACAGGACGTAGACGGTCTGCAGTATTTTCCTAAGCTTTGTCTTACGCTTTCTAGTTACTGCTACAGCATTTCAATGCAAGCTCATTGTAAGTAACTCATGAATGCCTGGACGCACAATAAGTAATGTCATTTTTATCATATTTCTTTCAAATTTAAACCATAAACTGATTGAAGGTCAACTAAACACCGTGACACTGAGTTCCTGATGGTGCCTCTCGGTTGTGTTAGGTATGTTGAAGGAGTTTGGGTGGCAGAGCTTTGCTGCCTATTTTTCAAATTTTCACTTCTCTCCATTGTTATGCACCTAGTGTGTACCATTTTGGTCATTTATTGGGGACTCTGCTGTTTGCTTAGATAGAGGTGGTAGGGAAAGAGAGGAGAAGCTCTCTGCGGTCTCTGTTAAATTTGGCTCCTCAGGTTTTAAGGCCGTTCCTGTGTATTGCACGGTAAGCTGCAAGCCGTACCAAATGCAAGCACTCCATGGAGGAAGGAAAGGAAACAAAGTGAAAATGAAGTGAAGCAGATGGTTGGGTTTATTTATTTATTTATTTTAATATGTAGTTGAGTCCACATTTTAAGGAAACCTAAAATTGTAAAACAAAACACACCCCCACCCCCCCCTCCACTTCTATATTGGGTTTCTAAAAATCACCAAGCCACTTTCTTTCGCAGGACTAAAGCGTGCGCCGCCCCTCTGCAACGTGGCCGTTACCGAGAGTGTTGGCAAAAGGCAGGATCGGCCTGCAGGGAACGCCGCCGGTGTCACAGTGGGGGTTGTCTCACCTGCAGCTGCGGGACTTTGCGACTTAGTTCTCCTCCTATAAAATACGGATTTTAAAATACAAGGTTTACCCCAAGCGACCTCTCTTGAGATGGTTGATGTACCTGAGCTGTCTCCTCTAGCCTCCCGACAGTTGCTGCGCAGCACATCAGATTTCCAGGCCACGTTAATCCCAATGATCCGAATGAGTTTTTCTTTACGGTGCGAGAGACGATGGTGCGTAGGCGTCGCCTCCCTCCCGAGCGGGACGGGGCTCAGCCCGGCGTCCTGGCCGCTCCCCTGGGTAGTGCCTTGCCTGCGGCGGTCCTCCACCAAGGAGTAAAGTGCAGGCTCCCCTGAGCTTGCAATAAAGATAAAATCTTAAAAACGCTTCTGGCTCCGAGTGAAAAAACGTTACAAGCAGAAGCCTGAAGAGGTTCTTATCTACCGTAACACAGCCGGGTTGTAGTAAATGCCAGCTGCCTTTGACCGAGATGGATTGCCTCAACACTGCGGTTTTGTTATCTTGTGTGTTGTGTAGGACTTCTGTTGAAGTTCCAACCTGCCCTCGCAGGGTTCATTTTCATATCGAGTCTGTCTCATCATTTCTTAGAGAGCATTTCCAAACACACTGGCTACAAGTGGTTTTACAGTTGCTCAGCATAATATCCGGGTTTAAATCTTGTTCTTCCAGATGCTGCTCCTGTTAACTTCGTAGTTAAGTTATGCCATTGTTACAGTTTGCCACGTTAAAGCTAGATGGGTTTGGAATTTTTTAAAAATGGATTTCATTTGTAAAACCAGCGTTGCTAACCCCTGCTTACATTTTGTACTGCGCTTATGCGTTTAGGAACGGTTTAACCAAAGAGCAGAGCAGAGATTCAGTACAGAGTAGAACTAACTCCAAAGAGCTTTTTCCAGTTGAATCGTGGTTTTAACATAACGAAGTTTTTCTTACCAGGAGAAAATTGAAAAACCAGGGATGAGCTTTGGCAGTCCTGGCATGAGAGTGTCCTGTCACCAAGAGCTGCGGCCAGCGGCGCGCGGCGGCAGAGGTGTGGGAGCAGCTTCGCTCCGCGCGGAGCCAGCTCGCTCTCCCGGGGCAGGGCGGCACCGGCACTGACACGGGGGATGCTGAGCAGGATCCTGACTGTCAGCCCGCACAGCTCGATGCGTTCTGGCTCTCGTTATCACCCAGACCAAAGCAAGTGCGGAGAAGGTCACGGTTTCACCTGCGCCGCTCTCACGCCCCTGAATACGTCCCGCTGGAGTCCCAGCCCAGGACGTCCCGGAGAGCAACGTTTGACAGTCCCGCACGTAGCTTTCCAAAGTTGTGACCAATTATTCCTTTGGCTACCTTGCTGGAATACAGCCTAAAGGAGATTTCTGAGCATCTGTGTCCCTGGAAGTACTGATGGGTACCACAATACTGATGGGTACTTAAGTACTGATGGGTACCACAGGCTTAAAGGAATATAGGGTTGGTCTTTTAAATGCAGAAAAAGTGCTTGATTTCCCTACTGCTCAGTTAATTCTGAGTTCTTCCTTAAGACTGAGCAGACCAGACCTAGGAGCTGACCTACTCATAAAAGCAGATTTCAAAACTTTACTCAAGAATTGCTTTAGATGTGAGCCTCTTTATTCATGGTCTCAGATAGGCTTCAACCGCTTTGCAGATGTTTTGCTTAACTAGCAAAGTTAGTCTAGCTAGCGTCTAGATGATCCTATATAACTAGAGACAACCGATACCTAGGACTTCAAGTTATCTAAAGGAAAACTATATGTAAACCAGCTGCCTACCTAAGCCTTATATAGTCAGCACTATATCAAGAAAAGTGATTTCAAGCTCAAATATTGAGCTTAATTGTACATATCTTCTTAGAGCTGAGTCCTCGGGTTTAAAAAGACAATTTATAAATATATTGGCCACACAGAGGGGCAGCAGCTCTGGTCTACACAGTTGCCAAACTTCAGCAGAACATTCTACATTTTAACCTTGCAATTTTGTACGGCCAGATTTCAGGATGGAGGCCTAAAAACTTACTTCAGGAAATGAAAGGCCAGTGAGGGGTTTTTTTTGCTCTAGTATAACCACCTACTAAATGTTTCTCTGTGTAAAATGAGTATGAGATGCATTACCAATACGCTAGTATTATTTAAAGCAAGGATGTCATCTATTCTGAGGCAGCTGCACAACAAAACCCCCTTATTTTCAAGACACGGTGTTAAGTGTTTATGTAGCAAACGCTGTTCTTTCAAGCTGATGCAGTGCTTCGGTACTAACTTCTGTGTTCTAAAAACTCCACAACTTTTGGTTTTTAATTTGACCTTGGGTAAACTATGTAATACTGTAATAACCTTAGCAGTAGTTCTGTACTGACCTTGTGTTCACAAGTCAGTAGACAATACTTCACGATGCTAGATGGCATTTGCTTTATTTACATTTATCCAAAGATTCTATTCAGTAAAACAGGCTCATTCATTTCAAATTGTGTATTTTTAGAAATTTTAGGACTACAGGGCTGACGCAGGCCTCACTATGTCATCTGTGACCATCCCTCCCCTGTCAGACAGGAGCAGTGTGCCCAGACCACTGGTGCGGGATGCCGCCAGGGAAGACGTGGCGTACATTTAACACAAAATAAACCAGCGTCTCCTGCCGCCCCTGAGACTAGCGAGGAAGGCTGGCCTCTCCTCAGCTGGGGCGCCGCGGTCTGCGTAAGCCGCACCATTGCCAAGCCTTTGGATCCCACAAACAAGTTTAAAACGCGCCCGCTGGA